AGGACTTCTAGGACCATATGGTCATGAGAAGTGGTGCTGGGATGAACAAGTGACATTTGTCAATTCAGGAAGCCTTTTTGTTTTGTGGGGAAAAAATATTGATACCTACAAAGCAAATAAATTCTATTTAAACACAATGTATTTCACACATATACATGAGCCAGAAGGAAACTCAAACCATAATGTGTCTGAGTTTTTATTTACTTATAAATAATAACTCAGTCTCACTCTGTCACCTAGTCTGGAGTGCAGTGGTATGATGACAGCTTCCTGCAGCCTCTACTTCCTGGGCTCGAGTGATCCTCCCTCTTCAGCCTCTAGAGTGGCTGGGACCACAGGCATGCACCACCATGCCTGGCTAATTTTTAAAAACTTTTTTGTAAGGAAGGAATCTCATTATGTTGCCCGGGCTGGTCTCGAACTCCTGGGCTCAGGTGATTCTCTCGCCTGGGCCTCTCAAAGTGCTGAGATTATAGGGGGGACCCCCTGTGCCTGGCCTCATTTTATATTTATATTCACTCAAAATGACAACCTCAACAGGTTTCCTTACAAAGGTGTGCAGAGGACAGCAAGAACTTCAACGAGTAGATCAGGAGGACTTGGGAGGGGCTTGGCACCCTCCCCACCCCACCACTGTGAGTGCAGGAGGAGGACCACCTGCTGTCCTGATGCTCTTCCCTGAAGAAGCCCTCATGTCAATTTTCGTATTATAGTGTTTCTTGCTCACCACACAGGAATTACGGCTGGCAGGAGTGAGAGACAGACTTTCCACACGGCATTTTCCATTCTTGGCAACATTGTAAAAAGCAAAATATTAGACCCCAAATGCAGAGGAAGATTCCCCCATCTCTGCTTAGAGGCTCCTTTCTCCTCAGCAGCACTGGGTGGATGTGGCTACACCGGGGTCTGACTATGGAAGACAGGAGCCCTGTTCTGCATCCAAGCTATTGAGATCCTGGGAGGGCTGACTGAGGCCACCTGTAATACCACTGGGAATGAGGGTGGGGCCAGAGTGATGCCGCAGTGGGGGAAGTTATTTCATTAAAAAAAAATATATATATATATATAATTTAAATTAAAACATTTTTAAGACAGGGTGTTGCTCTGTCACCTAGGCTGGAGTGCAGTGGTGCCATCGTATTATAGATGACTGCAGCCTCTATCTCCAGGGCTCGGTGATCCTCCTGCCTCAGCCTCCTAAAGTGTGGGGATTACAGGCATGAGCCACTGTACCTGGCTGGAAGTTTTCATCTGATGCAAAAAGTGTCTGAGGGAGCAAAGACTCTGGGATGACTGAAGTCAGGCCTGGCAATCAGCCCACATAGGGAGGCTCGGGAACAAGGACTGAAATCCTAATTTACATCAATCTCACAGTGTTGGTTTACGGTCTCTCCTAGGCAGCAGAGAACGTGCCTGGGATTTGGAATCGCAGGGCTAAACTGCAGCCCCTGGTTTTCCACTCGCTGGCTTCAGGACCTGCTGAATTCTTCCACCTCCTCAAGCCTGGGTTTCCACACATGTCAAACAAAGACCGTGAAGGTGCATTTTCTTTAATCATGGTCTATCACGTGTCATGAGGGAAAAATCCAAAGGCCTGCTGGGAGGCGAGCTGTATCATTAAGGGAAGTCACTGGCTCAGTGGCAGATTCTGAAGCAGGGCGCTGTCCGTTTACAACCCTGTGAGCTTTTGCTGGGTGGTGATGAGATTTCCCCCAGATTTACTGAGGTGTCCCTGGCAAAGAGTAAACCTCAGAGGCAGCAGCAGGCTGCTGCGCACAGTGCTGGGTCTGAGCCGATGCTTGTTACTCACCATCCTCTTCTCGGCTCCAGGCTGCGCCCCGCCAACGAGACAGAAAGGCACCCCACCAGCATCTCAGGAGCTTTAGCAGGGACAACCCAGGAGCCTCAGCGGCTGCTTAGTACATGGTGGTTCGAATGGCGTGAACAGCTCTTGCCTATTTGTTTTTAAATGTGGGTTTTATTGTTATTTAGGTACGGCAAGAATGCAGACATGGAAATGATGAAAAGATAGTCTGTTATGTTCACAGGGCAAGAGGACAGGCCATTCCACGCCACACAGGGCCACATGGAGAGGTATCAGGGTCAATCAGGAAGCAGAGAGAGTGAGGGGAAAATGTACCAGGCAATTAGGGACAGCCCCGTGCCCTGGAACCTACAGAAATAACTCATTAGCCAACCCTACACCGCCTGCCCTGCCTCACCCACTCCTTCCCACACATGCCACTGTGCAGGTTCCTGCCCACAGTGCCCACTCCCTCTGCCTCCCGGGCCATCCTGGGGCTGCCTCGTGTGGTCCTGCATGGCATACCTCCCGTTTCTAATAGAATATACACACTTTCTCCTCCTTGACATCATTTCCCTGTCTGCCGTCTTACCATACCTGATTAAAACGAGTCTCATTTGAAAACACACTGATTCGGCAAAGCAATCACTCATGTCAACAAACTAGTAGCATTCTCACATAGAGAGTGCCAAAGTTGAAATGGTTCAGGTAATTAACATGCTTTGTAGAAGGATTGGAAATAGCTCCGCAGCAGATCACATTTCAGATTTAATGACAATAAGTTTGTTGGAGAGTCAGTGAGTTAGGATGCAACTCCATTTGCCAAATCGTGGTTGCATCACAACCTTAGATCTGAGTGCCGATAGGAGATCTGATAAAAATCAACAAAAGCACATAGGCTATATGGAATAAAGATGATTGTATATTTTGTTATCACTTGTAAATTTTGTGCTATAATGTATGAGTAAAACTTGTAATAAAGTGCTATCAGCATACTTATACACCTCTTTTATTGCTAAAGAGCCGGTTCTTAGACACTGAGTGGCACCCCCATCCCTGCGGCAGTGCTGCAGACATTTCCCAGTCCAGCACCCCACTCACTTGGCAGCATTCAGCTCCTGGGGATCCAGCCCGCTCTGTGGCCACAAGCTTCCATAATACTGTGCCGAGGTCCCAGAGGGGTCCAGGTGCTGGCCAGATCAGTGTGTGCCGAGCAGCTGTGACTGTGAGAGACACAGCTCCTTGTTCTCCTTTTCCCATAACAGACAGTCCAAGTGAGATGAGAAATGCCTGTGCATGTAAAGCTTATCAAACCTAATTTTAAATACCCAAAACTGAATTCCACAGAAAGGTCACTCCCAGAAACTGTTGCTCATGTGATATATGACTGTATGTGCCAGAGTGGCTTTTCAGACAAGGGAAACTGAGACTATATCCAGAGGCTGCTTGCTCACAGCTAGAAAAGTCAGTTTGGATCTAGGCTAGAGTAGGGAGACAGTGACAGGCTGAAAGGAACAAGGGCCCCCTCAGCTGCAGGCATTTGCTAAACCCCGACATAGGAACGGGCTGACCACACCAGCCCTGTGCTGGTACAAGTCCTTATGCATCCCTGCATCTCCTTCCAGTGTCCCTGGCAAGTGGCTCCCTCAGAGAGGGCATGCAAGGACAGATTTTGCTTTTCTAGGATGTGTGGGGGATAATGAGCCAGGGCTAAGCTGGCAAGGAAAGGGCAGCTTCTATAAACCCTGCAGAATGGACACAGCTGGAGACTGCTCTGGGAAGGGAGGTGCCCTCCCTCTGTCTGGGTGAGCAAACCCAGGAGTGTGAACAGGCTCTTCCCACCAAGGGGTGCTGGCAGATAGTGGCCCAGGGGATGTCTCTATCTATCCTCCTCAACTGCAGGGGACAGATAAGATCTAGGACACATTTATGTGACACTAACAGCCAGGAGCCCAGCGTTGCTCTTCTCTTCTGAAAAGTTTCTCGTTTTTAAATGTCTCCCTGGACGCTTGGGCTGCCAAAAGAAAGTGCTTTTTATTCACAAATTCTCCTTGTCTTTTCAGTGCTAGGTAGGTAAGGGCTTCCCAATTAGCAGACAGATAAATGGTGACTTTGATTTTCTTTCTTATAATCAAGAATCATTCTACTAGAAGGATCCATTCTAGTATTCTACTACAGAAATCCACAGAGCCTAATTTCTAATTTTCTAATTAAAATGTGTTTATACCCTAGATATTCACACTAATATTGAAGAGTTCTTAGTTTTCCTTTTAACCACAACTGCGACCTTTCAAGTTCCATTTCCTAAGTGTGCCTACTGAAAATAAGGCAGTGTCTTTTTTGCCTGCCAGTGTTGTAAAACATAGGTATTCTGCAAACACGAATTTTGGGAGTGGCATGTACTTAATCATCAAGCTCTTAGGATAATTTGCAAAGCTCATCACTTGTTCGTTCCTACAATAATTAAACAGAAAAATAAGGCACTGCTCAGAACACACTTGAAACTACCTGAAGACAACTTTAGTATCAAAAAATATTAATGCCTAGCAATATTTACGTCTCAAAACTTGAATAATTTTTCTCATGAACCAATGAACTCCAAGCCAGCCCTCTAATGAAGTTTTACTTTATTTTTATTTAATACTCATTTGAATGTTACATTAAATTCATATTTTCAAAGCAAATAGTTGAAAAGATTGAAAATGCCAATAAACTAATTTACAATATAAAATGTAAAAGTAATTGTATCACTCAGGCTCGTGAACTACAGTGGATTTTAAAAGCCGAAGAGCTCAATGCAAGGGTCCTGTACCCGAGGTGTGCGCTCCTGGGGTCACATCCCACATGGTCAAGCCTGTGTGCTGTCACTGGGCCTGGCGTCTTCAGCTCGCTGCGCCCATCCCCCTAGACTGGCTGTGGACCGACAGCCTCAGACTGGGCAGCGGCCTGAGAAGGGGCGCTCAGGAGACAGAGGAGGTTGGCCTGGGGCCACTTTAGGCTGAACTCCGCCGCCTTGCCTTCGCTTCCCACTTAACAGAGATGTGAAAGGAAGGCGCTAAGGCCGGCCAGGGAGGCGGCGCCAGGCTTTCTGGCTCCAGTTCTGCTCTCCGGCTGTTGCCCGGCTGTCTCTACCTACCAGTCACAGCGGTGCGGGGGACACACGTGTCCCTCCTCCAAGGACCTGCAGCTAAAGGAACTTTCATGAAAATGTTTATTACCCAATAAAAATATTCACCCAGTGTTTCTATTTACAACATAGAAAATGAAAGGCGATGCCCAAATCCCAGCCTTCTGCAGGGGCGCGGGTCCTGCTGGGGGACGGAGGGGACGAGGGACGGAGGAGGGCGCGCTGGCGCATCCCGGCGCAGGAGGCGGTGCAGGAGCGCGCAGGGCAGCAGAAGCAGCAAGCTGGGCGCGCCCCCGGCGCTCTGCCCGTGAGCGCGGGAGGCCAGGAAGTCTTTCGGGTCTGGAAAAACAGACAAACCCGACATGTACGAAATGCAGTGCCGCGGCTCGGTTTGAGGACGTGCAATAGAAACGCCTGCTCTCCGCCTTCTACAGGCCCTTTTCCTCGGGGCACGCACTAGGCTCCGCCCCTTGGCCTCGCTGCAGGGCAAGGTGTGGGGAAGCAGGTCTCAGCCCCGCGTTGACATCTGCACAGAAGGAAGCCTCTAAATGTTTGTAGAACTTAGAGAGCTGGAGAATTATAGCACCGTTTTAAAGGGGAACGAAGAACAGCCCTTCCGTCTTTCTCATTTGGCCCATGACCTTTCAGGTAGTCCCGCTCCAGGTCACTGAGCGATGGGGCAAATAGACCGCCCACAGTATATATGGGGCAAAGAGACCGGCATAAAACAGTGCCATAGTATAAAACATCTCACCGCCATCTGCTGCAACAAAGGTTTCACTTTTCCCCAAATGAGTGCTTGAAATATTTCTTTGACAAGGGACAGTTGATGGAGCAGGAGGATGCAGTCATCCAAAGCCAGGCTGCCATTCTGAGGAAGCCTAGCACTGTGAGTGGCACCTCACCCCATGGGACTCACCTGCCGACCTTTCCCTAGCTCACACCGCTGGTCATAGGAGGCTGTGCCTGAATGCCTTGTCCCTGTCCCCCTTCCCCACCCCTCACAGCAGGCCTCACTCATGCTGAACCCTGAGGGTCCCTGAGTCTTGGTCTCTATGTAGCTGGGACCCCAGTCCAGAACAGTGGAATGGGAAACTCTGGAGTGGTGGGGCTGAGCAGGGTCTTGGCTAATGTCCTGGGTGGTGATTGCCAAGTGAAACAGACTACCTTGCAGACATGGCAGCCAACACCACTAGAGCATTCACACAAGCAAGTCCAGTCCCAGTTTGGAGGGGGGTCAGGCTGGTGGGAGAGCATGCCCAACTACAGGGACCCTGTCTTCAGGGCCACTCAGCAAAGGCCAGCCACCTCTCCGCCCACCCACCAAGGCTGCCCTGCCTTCTACTACACCTCCGGGAGATGCCCTCTGGACTTGGGAACCTGGCATGAGCATGAAACTGGAAATTAATGAGGAACTGATGCAGACGAGCACCCCCAGCAAGAACCACTCTCCACCCGTCCGCAGGCAGGCTGTACAGGCCTTAGCCAGGTCAGGCCCACTCCAGGCCTGGGTGCTGCCTCCCCATAGCACCCCACCTTGGGAGAGAGGGTTGTTCCAGGGTGCCAGAATCCCTAAATAGGAATGCTAACATCCAGGCTCAGATGAGGCAAGCACTCACAGCATAGGAAGCTATTCAGGTGAGAAAAGAGTCAGTAGTACCAGGTCTATGCTGGCCTTCCCCAGAGGGAAGAGGACAGGAGGGCTGGACACAGGGTGCATGCTGACAGGCCCAGAGCCAGCTGGTACCAGGACCTGCGAGAGCCATTCTGATGGCATCCCAGAGGCCTGGAGACTGGGTCTGGCCCAGGTCCTGCGAGAGCCATTCTAATGGCATCCCAGAGGCCTGGAGACTGCGTCTGGCCCACCGATGTCTGTTTGCTTGTTGATCGGTTGTTTTTTTGTCAGTATTGCATTTTTAAAAATTGAGTTTGCAGCAGTGAGGTGAGTGTTGACCTGGCCCCCGTCTCACTTCCATGTTACCTGCTCATCTCTGAAGACACCTGAGTTGGCTGCCTCACTGTGTCATTCCATAGACTCTAAATTTTAGAGTATTAAATTGTCTCTTGATGCTGGTAAAAACTGATACTTGATGCTTTAGGGCCACAGTAGAAAGAGCCACCTCCTCAGACTAACAAGGAGGTCCCGGCTAGCTTGGGACCGGCAAAGGTCCCTGCTAGCTTGAAGCTTCTCACGCTTGGACTCACAGAGCATCCGTCAGAGCAAGGTGAGCTCTCGGAGATGCCCAGACCAGGCATCCCTGCGGGAGCCAGTGGGCCATGCTTTTGTAGCAACATTTTATCTTCCCCATACCCTTCAAAACCATCATCATCTCCCAATAAAGGATTTAAAACATTTATTTACCTGTTACTGGCTGTTGGCTTTGGAATATGACTAAATTTTCTATATTCTATATAACACTTCTTAAAATCTTCATTTTTTTCATATTTATTCTTTCTTTTCTTTTTAAGAGACAGGATCTTCGTCTGTCTCCCAGGTTGGAGGGCAGTGGTGCAATCATAGCTCACTGTACCTCAAACTCCTAGGTACAAGTGATCCTTCTGCCTCTCAACCTCCCAAGTAGTTGGGACTACAGGTGCTCATCACCACACCTGGCTAATTTTTACAATTTTTTGTAGACACAGATCTTGCTATATTGCCCAGGCTGTTCTCAAACTCCTGGCCTCAAGTGATCCTCCTACCTCAGCCTCCCAGAGTGCTGGGATTATAGGCATGAGCCACTGTGCCCAGTCATATTGATAATTACTCTTACAGGAAGAGTACAAGAATGGCACGAAGTTAAGAATCAGACCCTGTTTAGTATCTGCAGGAGTTACTCTCTCTGTGTCTCAGTTTCCTCAAATGTAAAAGGTGCACCTAATTCACTGGCTTTTATAAGAGTTAAATGGGGTAGTGGGTATATAAAGTGCCTGAAATACACTGAGAGCTCCTCTCCTGCTGTAACACCCAGAAGAGCTCACCCTACTGCAATGGCACCTGCCACAGAGGATGTTCCATCCTCATCGCCACTGTCAGCACAGCCATCACCAGCATCATTGTAACTTTCCTTGAAGAAGGATCAATGGGTGGAAGAACACAGAGGGGTTACTGCCCTCTCTGCACCTGACAGATGACCCTGAAGGATGACGGCACTATTTTATCCAGCTTTCATGAACAGATGCCACATTTTCAGAGCCACTGTCACTGTTCTTGGCCAATAGCAATCACAGCACTGGATGTTTCCAAGAATGTAAAATCATTAAGGGATATCCTGGAAGTCATCACAGCTAGACCCTTCCCCACATTCCCACTGGGGCGGCCTAATGGCAGGTGGGAAGTGACGTCATCTGTGAGGACCACACAAGCACTGCCTGCAATTCTGATGCCTGCCCATGAAATCTGTGTCCTCCTGTCTCTGGGGCATAGAGGAGCAGCTGGTGACTTATAGGCAGAGGCTGAGCAAAAAGAGCACACATAGAAGAGAGGGTGCTTTGAGAAAATGTGATCTGCATGTAAGTGCTCTCCTCTGCTGGCACCATGGCTGGGTGGGAAGTGAGGCTGAGGGCTGTGTCTCTATTAAGAGTGTCCCTTGACTGCTGGTCCTACCAGGGAGAGAAGAGAGGGTAGGAAGGGAAGGAGAGCAAAGCATGCATTAAGTGTGCTCCCCCACTGCAGGCCTCCAAGAGCAAGAGAGAGGCTGAGGAAGCCAGGTTGAAGATCTTCGGCCCCCTGGTGCTGCCCTCCATGCAGCCCAACAGGACAACAGGACGGCCTGAGGACAACAGGTGGGAAGTGGGGTTGCAGGGCTGTGCCCTTTGACAGATGGAGGTGCCCAGGGCTGACTGAGGTGGAGGGAGGGGCAGGAGAGTGGCTCTGGAGCCTTGGCTTCATCAGGTATGCCCCAAGACACTGCACCACCAAACCACCCAGGCCTGGGAGAGGGCAGAGCTGGTGCTAGGGTGGAGAGGCTGGGCCTTCACTACTGTGCCTTCCATTGCTAGCCCTAGCCAGTGCTCACGGAAGAGGAGAGGAGAGGAGGGAAGGCCTGGCACTGGAAGATGCTCTATGGATGGGTATGGAGGGTGAGCCAATGAAGGCGCAATGGCATGCAGGGGTGAGCTGGGGGCCGAATTGCGGGGCTTCTTACCACAGTGGCCAGGCGTCTGGAGGGGGAGGCAGTGCAGGGCCCCGAAAACGCACCTGCAGAGGTGGCAGCCCCGGAGGGTCCAGGCTCCGTGTCCCAGGGAGCCGCATTCACTGAGGAGACAGACACCGGGACCTGAGTCAGTGCAATGGCCTGGCGCCCACTCCCACACCAACCCTCCCGCCTCCGCCACTGGCGCATCCCTCCCCCTGTGCCGACTCCCACGCCCCCCAGGACCCGCACATCCCTCCCCTAGCGCCCACTCCTGTCCCTCCGCCCCGCGCTCCCCTGTGCCCACCTGCGCCTCTGGTCGTGCTCGCAGTAGCGGCCGGTGAAGTGGGCCGGGCACACGCAGAAGCTGCCCAGCACGCAGGTGCCGCCGTTGCGGCAGCAACGTGGCCTCCCGGGCGCACCTGCGGGATCACCCCGGCGTCAGCCCCGTGCTCCCCACGCCCCGCGGCCCTCGGCCTTCCCGGTTCTCCCGCAGGGAAGAGGCCGAACGCGGCCGCCCTGGGGAGGCAATAAAATCAGCTCCCCGCCAAGTGTGTTTGCTCAGGTAAACCCTGCTTGTTAGGGATGTGAAACAAACTAACGGGTGCGGCCTGCGAGCCCGGCTTGCTCTCTCCCTTCCTTTCACATGTTAACCACTGGCTGTGGCTTCACCTGACAGTGATTAAGCACAGGCCTCCCGGGCGGGACCACCCACGGATGTGGTGACGCCAAACCCACCGGCTAGGGGCCTCCTGGGGACGCGGGCCCAGCCGGCGTCTTAGATAAACCATGCTAGAGTCCGCTGTTATCTGGGCTTGGGGTATTTATTTTCCACACATTTAAATCACAGTTCTCTAGATCTGCAGGAAAACAGCCAATGAATAGCAAATACAACCTTTTACCAATGAAAGAGTAAAACTTTTAGAAGAGAGAACACCTCTAGGAGCTGTCTCTAGCTGTATCGCTTTGAAAGTGCATCATTATTTGAAGATAACAAAATGCTCTTTTGGGTTTTATCCTGAATTTATCCTATGTATTCTCAGATCGTAAACTCTGAGTTCGCAGACCGAGATGATGCCCCGGATTTTGTGGGCAGCGCAGCAACTTACCCTCTCGGAAAGCTCGGGAGTAGGGGAGCCGCTCCCCTGGCCTCCAGCCCTCCTCGCTCTCAGTCACCTCCCCGACATGACCCGAGGTCCAGTTGAGCGGTGTCTGCTGCTGCTTCAGGGCCGCAACCTTGGTGACTTCCCCTCTACCTCTGTTACTTTTCTCTATTTGATAGCCTTTTAAAAACATTGAAAACGTGAGACTGATAATGATTGAGAATCAAATATTTTATGCAATTAAAACTGAGACTATGAATAAAATGTTTCTTACTATTTCCCAAGCTGATGATCCGTAATGCCAAACTGATTAGAAACAGAAGCCTAGAATATTTAAAGAAAATCATTCAAGTTTAAAATATCTTTAAAAGTATGAGTAGAAATTCACATATACATAAAATACAATGCAATCATTATATATAAATATTAAATTATGTTAAATATTTAATTATGAATAATGCAATCATTTTGTAATTCATGTGTTTTTATTAATGTTGCTATGGCTTAGAAAGATTTTGAGACAGAAAGTGTACACCTCTTCTACCAAACAGTCAAGCAAGCACTATGATTTATTCTGAGGCTCTTGAGACCCTCCTCTTGGCTCTAAGATCTCATGACCTGTGTCCTTACCTGACATGGTGCCTCCAGGTCATTTTTGGTTTGAGAGTCTCCTTCTCCTAGTGCACTGAAGATCAGTTTCCAGAAAAGCTGTGTCTGAAGAGCCTCTGCATTTGAAAGTGTCTTGACTCCAGACCCCGGGGACACAGAATGGAGGAGTACCGAAGACGCCTCGTTCCCTTCCTCAGTCAGGAGAAATGGGGTGGTATCTTGAGTTCTGCAGCCCCTGAGCTAGGGTCTGGCTTGTGGTGACAGGGGGGCCCCTCTGACCCTGAAGGACGATCCCTTCTGTGACACCTGGCTGGGGGTGGGGACTTGGGCTGACTACCCCCCCAGCAGTGTTTACAGTGCTGACAGCAGCAGGAGTGACCAATCCCTGATGTAAAACATTGGTATCCAAGGTGACGAGCTGTTTTCTCACTGAGAGAGAGAGAAAAAAATAATCCCAACATGAGAAGAAGCTTTCATAGGAAGGTGGAGATTTTCTATTGCATATGCCTTGTATTGGGAGATGGTGAGGGGCCCTATGGGGGAGGGAGCTGCTGTGTGGGGCACAGTCAACAGCCCCGGGTCCCAGCTGCCCTGAGTGGGGAACGCGAGGATAAAACATGTCACCCCTGCTTTAAGAGAGGCTCCCTCCCTCCACAAATGGAGACTCTTCTCTGTGCCCAACCAAGTGGGGGAAGGGCACTGCCCCATTTATTATAGGACCCTCTAGGGTAGGCACTGTTATTCCCCACCACGTGAAAAGAGAGAAAGGGAGGCCTAGAGAGTTTACGTCCCTTGGCAGTTAGATCTCTGAAAAACATGGATGGCAGATATGATGAGGAGACACCCGAAGTTATCCAAGGCAACTACAGGAGCCCTCGGAGGAGGCACAGGCAAAACTGCAGCGCTCACGCGCCACCAAGGAGCCTGCTGAATCCAACTGAACCCAAGGACGGAGTGATCTGGGGCCTCTTCTAGCACCTTAGCACCTTCTAAGTCTCAGTTCTTCGAAGTACCAAAATAGGGACTGAGGCCCTGTTATCAGCACTAAATAAGACACCTTGCAACTCAGTGTTGCAAATTGTCTGTGATTTTAATATAAAAGCTCATTTCTAAAAATAGTATTATTCCTCCAAGGCTGAAATAGTCTTTGATGGTGATTTAATTTCTTATACCTTTAGATGTGAGATTTATTAAAGAGGCTGTGAAATAAAGCAATAAGAAATTGGAGGATATGATGAGGAGACACCCGAAGTTATCCAAGGCAACTACGGGAGCCCTCGGAGGCACAGGCAAAACTGCAGCACTCACGGGCCACCAAGGAGCCTGCTGAAATAGTCTTTGATGGTGATTTAATTTCTTACACCTTTAGATGTGAGATTTATTAAAGAGGCTGTGAAATAAAGCAATAAGAATTTGGAGGACCGGGCTGCCCTGAGGCCTCCCAGCAGTGAGTCCTGTGGGATCCGCCTTCCTCCACCTCCCAAAGTGCTGGGATTACAGGTGTGAGTCACTGCACCTGGCCAAATCATGACATTTCATATGTAGAATAAGTCTTTGAAAATCTGTAGTTTGGCCAGGCTCTGTGGCTCATGCCTATAATCCCAGCACTTTGGGAGGCCTAGGCAGGAGGATCATCTGAGGTCAGGAGTTCGAGACCAGCCTGGCCAACATAGTGAAACCCCCTCTCTACTAAAAATACAAAAATTAGCCAGGCACGGTGGCGTATGCCTATAATCCCAGTGATGCGGGAGGCTGAGGCGGGAGAATGGCTTAAACCTGGGAGGCGGAGGTTGCAGTGAGCTGAGATTGCACCCCTGCACTCCAGCTTGGGTGACAGAGCAAGACCCTGTCTCAAAAAAAAAAAAAAAAGAAGAAGAAGAAGAAAAGAAAATCTGCAGTTTATATGTGGAAACTAGAAAAAAAAAATGTCTTGCCAGCAAGACAGAACTGAGAGACAAGAAACAGCAGTACGCTGTGCCTATACTGTTTGCTTAAGCTCTACAATGGACCCAGAGGAGAAGGGCTGATGTCCGGGGAGATAAAGCTTCTGATGATCTATTTTTGCCAGACTGTCACTTGCTCTCCACACGAAGCTTTGTGGTCCCAGGTTGCCTCCTTGACTGAAAGTTCCTATAAAAGGGTTTGCATTTTACTGCAGAGGAGCTACCCTGTTTGCTGTCAAGAGCTCCAGCTGGAAGGGTTGCCTGGGAGCACTGGAAGGGGGAGGTGGGTCCCTGCCAGGAAAAGGGCCTCTTTCCTCCTTATCAGCTGTAAACAGATAAGGCTGGAGCCGGCCCACCCATCAAAACCCCAGCGGAATGTTCTGGCTTATAGAGTGTGTGGGACTGGAACCCTGTGCCAGGACTGGAGGAACCCTCAGGGTACTCAGCACATCCATCACGGAGTAAAACATTCTGCAACAAATTAGATGTGAGGTGTGAAGGGATTCTCCGAGGAGGACTTCACAGCAGTAGCTGTCCAGGCGGGCTGCCCCGTGGCATCTGTGGGAGTGAGAAACCACTTTCTCCACCCTACTGGCTTCTTTGCAGGGCTGCTGTCTCCACACATTTTCCTCATCTAGATATTACAAGTGAGGAGAATCATGCAGTACTGTCCTTTTGCGTCTGGCCTATGTCACGTAGTGCAATGTCTTAGGTCCATCCGGGCTGCAGCGCCTATCAGAGCTTCACTCGTCTTGTGACTAAGTAATACATATTTCACTACACCCAGCCACCATGTTTTGTCTGTCATCTGTTGATGCAATTTGGTTTTTCTGCCCATTGGAAGAGCACAGTGAGAAGATGGCTATCTACATGCCGATGACGGAGGTCTCCAGATGGTGACTCCTTGATCTCAGACTTCCAGCCTCCAGAGCCACGAGAAGATACATTTCTGTGGGCTAGGCCTCCCAGCCTGCGGCATTTGGTTAGGACAGCCAGAGCTGACAGATGCCAGGTTTTTGTTTTCTCATGATTGTTACGTATTATATAATTGTGAAATTTTTGCTGCATGTAGAGTGCATTTGTACTGGAGGCTTTCTAGAAGTCCAGACAGCATCTTTCAGTCAGGGTCTTACACGGACATTTTCATTCACGGAGGACCCTCCAGACAGTCCTCACTGGCTGATATTTCTTTAAATCAGCCCGAACACTGCTGTGTGCCCCTTCAGAAAGCCCAGAGTTGCTCATCCTGGCAACCAGGCAGCGACCGTGATGGACAGAGCATCAGTGAACCTGAACACTGCTGCGTGCCCCTTCAGAAAGCCCAGAGTTGCTCATCCTGGCAACCAGGCAGCGACCGTGATGGACAGAGCATCAGTGAACCTGAACACTGCTGCGTGCCCCTTCAGAAAGTGCAGAGATGCTCATCCTGGTGATCAGGCAGTGACCGTGATGGACAGAGCATTACCTCCCCAAGCAGCCGGCCTCCAGGACCAAACTTCTTTCTCCAGTTGATCCTATGCTCAGATAAGGACCTTTATTAATTATACCAATTTATCATTTAGTATAATTAGCAATGCTTTTAGTCTCTAAGTCATACAAAAAACCCGCCAGAAAAGAGGTACTTGAACAAAATATGGTGCAGAAAGCAACAGTTCCCTGAAGAAAAAATGGAAGCTGAAAGTAATGCACCTTAAGAGAAAGACTGGATCTTTCTTTTCATTATTTTATTTTATTTTTTATTTTTATTGCATTTTAGGTTTTGGGGTACATGTGATGAACATACAAGATTGTTGCATAGGTACACACATGACTGTGTGATTTGCTGCCTTCCTCCCCATCACCTATATCTGGCATTTCTCCCCATGCTATCTCTCCCCAACTCCCCACACCCTGTTGTCCCTCCCCTATTTCCCCCCGTCAGACCCCAGTGTGTGATGCTCCTCTCCCTGAGTCCATGTGTTCTCGTTCAACACCTGCCTATGAGTGAGAACATGCAGTGTTTGATTTTCTGTTCTTGTGTCAGTTTGCTGAGAATGATGGTTTCCAGGTTCATCCATGTCCGTACAAAGGACAGGAACTCATCGTTTTTTATGGCTGCATAATATTCCATGGTGTATACGTGCCACGAGAATGGATCTTTCAGGGCCGGCGAGGAGGCAGCAGTTGCATGCTGAAGGACAGGCCTGGAGTGCAGGGGCCCTCCTGGGAGCGCCAGCTCTGGAGGGAATCTGCCAATCCTCAGCACCGGGCTCAGAGCAGTGTCAGTGCCACTGCAGAGCCCTGGGGACTGGGACTAGAGAAGCACCTTCCCTCAGGAGCTTCCTTTTCAACTGGGTTGCAGCCAGGGAACAGCCAGGACCCTGCAGTGCTTGAGTGCTTTGACCAGAAGCATTTGGGGTCTTATTCTGTGTGTGTGTGTGTGTGTGTGTGTGTCTGTGTGTGTGTGTGTGTATGTGCAGAGAGAGACACCAAGTTGAAGTGTTAAGAAAGGGGTAGGAGGGGACTGGAGAGGTCTTTCCTGTCCCTTTCCTTCCCCTGCTCCTTCCCGAGCTCCTTCCTCCCCTCCCTCTTCTCTCTGCCCCTCCTCCTCCCCTCCTTACTGGAGCTCTTGGATCACTCAGGGTTAATGTCAGATTTACGGCACTGAGCTCGTGATTGTAAGTCTCAGTTCACTTGAGGCTCCCCTGGAGCTCCCACACCCTCCACTGGCCTCTCCCCTGCACTGGGACCTATGGCCACCCCTAGGGCAGGAGGGAGAGGGTGGAAGAGTGGAGCCCCCACCTTTTGTGAGCTGCTTTTGTTAGAGGTGAGTCCAGGCCCACTCTCAGGGGAGGGGTTGCACGGCGGCCTGAAGACCAGGAAGCTCTCCTTGGGGACCCTGTCAGAGACTCGGCGACACCCATAGATTAAACTCATTTTGCCAGATTTGCTATTTTGTTTTTGGTGAAGAATTTTAAATTAAATTACATATATCATGACATCTTCTTTCCCCTGAGTATTTCCATATTTAGGTTGTCTGAAAGTGAGGCTGGGTTCCTGCATCACCAAATCTGTATGAGATGGATTGGAATTAACAACAGTGGTCCCGGACCCCAGGCCAGCCAGCTTAAATTCCATTTGGGGATGAGATGCCTTTTGTCTCAGAATCCCCAGCTGTAAGCACCACGAACCCCTCAGTTCATATCTCAATCTTCCTTTTTATTGGATTTTGTTCTCAATTTCTAACTTCTAAACTTGTCATTAGATTATATCTAATTTAATAATATTTCTGAAAGCTGATTTATTCTAAGATTTGATGAACCCGCCTGGATTTTGGTTCAATGTAATAAGAACCACTTAATTATAAACATTTCTGCAGGGTTTTGCTAACCTGTGTTTTGTTCTCAGTATATCCATATGTCTTGTAGGTCCCTTAAAACGTTGTCTTCTGGCCAGGT